CATCAAATTTTAGAAAAAAATGGACTAAGTGGAGTTAAAAATTTATACTTACCTATGTTGTTATGCCAAACAGATGCAAATTAAATTTTTTAGTGGGGGGCAGCTGCTGGTACAGGGATCCAAACCCTCGACCTTGGTGTTATCAGCACCACACTCTAACCCCGTGAGCTAACTGGCCAGCCCGCAAATTCAATTTTGATTTCTGGATTTTTGGTGTTATGTGGTCAACATGGCTGTGTAATGACTATACCTGGATGTCCTGGTGTTTTCCAGAAATGAGTTGTATATACGAGGGAGTGAGTGAAGGGGGAAAAAAAAGTAAAAGAACTCAAAGGAGAGAAGTAAACAAATATTTCTATTAATGATACAAAGCTAGAAGTGAAAACTATGCCTCATATGTACATGTAGTGAAACACATTTCTTTTTGAAAAGAAGAGTCCCCAAACCCCCAAATGGAATTGTTACTTACAGAAAAAAAAAGTTAGAGATTTACAACTGACGCGTTGCTACTAGATATGTTTTCTTTTGAAGGTTTTTAAATTTTATGTTGAAATCTAGGTCTTTAAAACTTTCCTACCTTAATTGTTCTTAGAAATCATGGTTATAAGCAACATCTGTGGTACCTGACTCGGTGAATCAATACAAGACATGATGAATGGGAATACTGAGACTTACATTTTCCCATCTGATGCATAGGTAATGAGTAAATATGCTGCTGAACCTCTATGTAACTTTACAGAGATCTTTAAAGGAAGTTCATAAATGAATGGCCCCCAAATAAAAAAATGAATGAACAGTATAGATTGTAAGATTGTTTATTGTAATCCTCTAGCATTTTTATTATTCAAAACACTGAGAAATCAGATAACTGATTTTCTGGAGTTGTCCTAGAGCCTATGAATTTGGGGAGATGAACAGAACAGTGTATTTCTCAGAGACAGAGTGCCAATCCAATCATAACTTGCCGTAGTTGCTAGGCATCTTCCTGAAAAATTTCGTCTAAGTCAAATCACATAAAATGTGCTAAGTTTAGTCCATTACAGATGTTGGGTACCTAAGAGTTTTATATTATTCTGAGTACTTTTCTGAAGTATAAAAATTTCAAATTAAAAGTGGGAAAAATACTCCAAGAGAATTCATTATTTAATAGAATTATTTTGTTAAGCAAATAATCACTCCCTAATTTCTGCTATTTACGAGTTGGTGTGTTAGTCCAGGTCCTCCAAGGAGCAGACACCAAGATGAGATTAACTGTGCAGGGATTTCATTGAGAACCTTTTAAAATTCTATCACTTTCACATATTTTATGATTTAATTGAGTGAAATGTTTTTTTTTTTTTTGTCTTTTGTCTTTTTCCGTGTCCGGCAACGGATCGCAACCCTCAGTGTCGCCCCCGCACCGGACCGGGGACCGGCAACGGGATTGCAACCCTCGGTGTTGCTCCCGCGCCTCGCCCAGCCAGTGAGCGGGAACCGGTCTGTACGTGGGATCCGAACCCTCGGGCGGGAGCGCCGCCGCGCTTCCCAAGCGGCGCACTATCCAGTGCGCCACCAGGCCGGCCCTAATTGAGTGAAATGTTTGAAAAGACTTGTGATTTTGCTCAAAATAAATGCACACACCATATTTAGCAATTCCTCCTTACTCCCACCTTTTGCCAATCCCCACAACTGTTCTTGGCAACCTCTCTGCTGTTGAAATGGAGGTGTGTCTGAGACGGCAGGAGACTAGAAAGGAAGAAAGAACTATTCTCTTAAATTATTTCCAGGGGGAATTCTGGAGGAAGATGACTAATATAGCTCCAGCCTGGGGCAGTGCATTCTCTCTCTGAAAGTTTAACAAGAACACTTGAGAATGTGGCGGTAGTGTTTGAGGAGGCTTCTTTTTTGTGCTTTCAGCAAATGAGGCATTGATATTTCCTCAATTACCCTGACTGTGCTGGATCAGATTTGACCATAAATTCTTCACAGCCTCTGCCATCAGGAGGTGGAGTCTGCCTTTTAATCTGGGCTGGCCTTGTAACTTGCTTTGACCAGTAGAATGCGGTAGGAGTGATGTATGACTTCTCAGCAAGGCCTTAAGAGACCTGGCAGTTTCTGTTCATTTCCACTTTGAGTGCTCCTCCACATAATAAAAATTGGAGTCATTCTGTCATAAAGGACATGTGGAAGAGAGCCAAGACATCTCAGCCAACAACTCTGGCTAGCCCCAAGGCACGTGAGTGAGGTTTGTTAAACTGCCAGGTGACTACAGCCACAAGAGTGACCTCGAGAGAGAACATAAGGGGAACTTCCCACTGAACCCAGCCTAAATTGCTGAAACATGAACAAAATTTCCCTTCTATTTATATGCAGTAGGAAGGGAAAGTGGATGACACAGGGCGGAGAGGGGCAATTGCAGGAGCAATGTTCTGTAATAGGAAAGAGGAGGTGGTGGAATCTAGTCAAGAAAGGAAGGAGCTAGGAGTCTGGGGAGTTCTTCCCCTATAATAGGAGGAAAGGCAGCCAAAATGGGGCCGCTTAAAGATGGGAGGGCAGATTTGGTGGGGGGTACTTGATTGCTTTAATTTTCTTTCTTTTTTTTTTTTAAAAATGACCGGTAAGGGGATCTTAACCCTTGACTTGGTGTTGTCAGTACCAGGCTCTCCCAAGTGAGCCTCAGTCCAGCCCTTTGCTTTAATTTTCTTTGTGATGGTGAGAAGGTGATAGGAGTCATGGAGTTTGAGGCTGAAGAAAGTCATTTGAAGAATGAGAGAGTAATGCAGTAGGATTACAGGGAAATATCAGAAGCCTCTTGAGGTTTTTTTTTTTTTTTTTTTTTTTTTTTTACACTTAACTGAGAACTGTTAACTGTGTGCTTTTCTCAAGCCATATTCAGATGCTTGGGTCCAGGTGTGGAGTAGGTAGAAAATAGGATTTAATCATGATTGGGACTTAGAGTATGATAGAGTTAGGGCAGGTCAAGATAATTGAGCACATAAAGAAGGGAGTGGTTACAGCGATGGCTCGCGGAGTACAAGCCAATAAAGGAGCAAATTGAAGACACAAGGAGGGTAAGGGGAAAGGCAAATGAATTAAATCCAATCTTGTGAGGAAAGGTACCAATGTTATTGTTTAGCATCTGATACTAATACGCATTGTGATCTTGGGAAAATCACTTTTACTGATTTGTACAATCAGGGAGTTGGCTAAAATAAACTCTAAGATTTCTTTGGACCTGTAACAATCTGTTGTCCTGTGATTCCACATAAAAGTAGCACATAATGTAGATACAAATGAGGAATAGATTCAGTTTTGTAAAAAAAGATACTGGCATTTGCAGCAACATGGATGAACTTAGAGAAAATCATATTAAGTGAAATAAGCCAGGCACAGAAAGAGAAATACCATATGTTCCACTCATAAGTGGGAGCTAAAATAATAAACATATAAATAAAAGAAAGAAGGATACAACAGTCACAATAATACATCAAACTTTCAAAAGGACAACTGAGGTTACTAGAAGTGGGAAGAGAGAGGGGAAGGAGGAATGAGTAAAGGGCCATGAATAGCAATGATAGTGTATATTATTGAACATAATAATTATTCTGTAAGCATCACATATTGCACATGAGTATTGGTGTTTAACTCTGTGCCCCACAGATATGTGCAGTCAACTTTGTACCACCAACAAAAAAGAACTATTGATGCACAAACAAACAAACAAAAATACTGGCAAGCCTCTGTTAATTAGCCACAAATTATTTCCCTCACTTTGTGTTGTATTCTTTTTGGATGGCTGCTGAACAGATAAATAAATACTTTGGAAGGAGTACTTAGAGATGTAAAGGAATGTATCTGGAATCAGTGGAATTATGGGCTAGTGAAAGGAGCTACATGGTGAAAGGTAGGAATGCTGGGCTTCTGCGCTGGCTCTCTCTCTGTTCTGTTTTGTATGCCCTATTTACTGCTTTTTCTATGATTTGTTAAAAGTTCTGAGAGACTTTGTCATTTTTGCTTCCCTTAAATACTGGACTAAGCCAGAGCTGGATGCAGAAGTCCTGGAATAGAAGAGATATGATTGTGTTCTTTTCACTTGTTCATCAGAATCTGGTCTAGATAAGAGCGGCCATGATGGCATTTTGGGGAGATATGAAAGCAAATAAAACTTTCTAACATCCTAGTCAAAGGCTTTTCATTTTAATTGAAAAGAAGCTTCCAACATCCATGCCGTTGCTCTCGCTGTGATTATAGCCACTACTAAAGCTGACTATTGCAGTTTCTTCAAACTTGTCTCTCTTTTCCCCTAGTCTCTCGTTACAGTTCGTTCACCATAAAGCAGCCAGGGGTAATCTTTTTTTTTTTTTTTTGTCCTTTTTGAGACCGGCCGCACCGCGCTCAGCCAGTGAGCGCACCGGTCGGCCATCCCTATATAGGATCCGAACCTGCGGTGGGAGCGCTGCTGCGCTCCCAGCGCCGCACTCTCCCAAGTGCACCACGGGCTCGGCCCAGGGGTAATCTTTTTAAAAAGCAAATCAGGGGCTGGCCTGTTAACTCACTTGGTTAGAGTGCAGCCTTGTAACACCAAGGTCATGGGTTTGGATCCCTGTACTGGCTAGCCACCAAAAAAAAAAAAAAAAAAAAAAAAACCCAACCCCAAACACCCCCCCCCCAAAATGTAAATCAGGTTATTTTACTCCCCTGCTTGAAGTCCTCCAATAACTTCCCATTAGACTGAGAATAAAAGGCAGACTCTTCATTTTTGCCTTCAGGATCTTATGGGAACTGGTCCAGACTTTTCTCTCTGACCTCATCCTGAACCAATTTCCACTTCATTCACTGTGTTCCAGACACACTAGCCTTCTACCATTCCAAAACCATGTAGAATTCTTTACTATCTCAGGACTTGGTACCAGTGGGTCCCTCTACTTGGAAAGCTCTTTTAGATTCCTTCAGGGCTGGTTGATCACTTAGAAGAACTCAACTTTTTATTCACCTTTTTCTTCTGTCTCCCCTTTAACTAGACAGAAATATGTGATATGTACTTGTCTATCTCATTGGCTGGTGTAGCCCCTGTGCCCAGAAAAGCATCTAGGAGGTGTTCAGCAAACACTTTAATGGAGAACAGAGGAACCTCAAAAGCAGAAGCTTTGTAAGTATCTCTTTGCTAAAATTGGTAGAGAAGATTGTCTTTTGGGAATGGAATTGTTATACCACTCTGTAAGCACTGTCTATACTTGTCTAATGGTTTGGAGGAAGTGGGAGGGAAGGAATTGCAAAAGATAATATGAGAGAACGTCAAAAGTTCATAGAAAGTTTTGTATTATCTTTTAATTCTATTTTTCCATGAAAATTTTCAGATACTATTTTTCTGTATGTTTTGTGCTTTTTGTTTTGCTGTGTGTGTAGTGTATATAATGGACAAAGGAGTCCTAATTTTGCAACATCTCGTCTCTAGATGTTAAAGAGGTTGCTAGTGTATGACAAAGAAATTAGTAAATTAGCATATTTCGTATACTTTGTGTTGAAATTCATAGAAAAGCTTGTCCTCTGTAAATGATTTTTTGGTTATGAAATTGTTCAACCATCTCTAAGCATTACACGTGCCTGTACTTGTCCACGGAAGGCAGAGAGAATGGAGGGAGTGAGAACAGAGTGGTCTAAGGCTAGAATGGTCATATTTAGAAGATACCTCAGATTATAACCATTGGTATGTGTGTACCAGTGTGGCACACATAGTGGACAAGTTCTTATATGAAATATCTAGTCTTTCTAGATATCTAGAATTGCTCGATGTGTTTAAAAGTTGAAGTAGTAGAATGATACTTTTTGTAAATATCTTTTAAAAACTGATAGGAAATATTGTGTTTGGAAATGGAATTGTTAAACCACCTCTGTGAACAGTATACTCTGTACTTGTTCATTGGGTTGAGGGAGCTGAGAAGGAAGAGACTGTAAAAGGTGTTTTGCTAGTGCACACTAGAAATGTTCAGCTTATCCATTCTCCTATATGTTACATGCATTTCATTTAACTTTGCCGTACTGTATATGTTGTGTATATTCTGAACAAACGAGTCCTAATTCTGTAATATCTAGTCTCCAGATATTAAAGAGGTTGCCAATGTATGACAAAAGTGGAGTTAGTAAGCTCACATAATTTGTACACTTTGTGTTAAAATTCATAGAAAGGCTGTCTTCTGAAAAGGACTTTTGGAAGTGAAATCATAACATCCCATGTAAATGACACGAGTGCTTATATCCACTGGTTGGTGAAAGGCAGAAGAAGTTGGAAGAAATGAAGGATTCTAGTCCAGAATGTTCCTATTTTGAGGACACTTTCAGATAGAACCATTGTTACATCTGTGTAGTTTATTCAACACTACTGTGCATATAGTGGACAAACTTAAGTCTGTATTTGAAACGTCTAGTCTTTCTAGATGTTTAGAAGTTCACAAAGTATGTTAAAAGTAAAGATAGTAAATAACTTATTCTGAAGATACTCTTTTGTTAAAATTCATATGAAATACTGCCTTTTAGAAATGGAAAGATCAAACCACTTCTCTGAGCTGTACACATTATTACATTTGTGCTGGTTTGGAAAGGAAGGAAAAGAAGAAAGTGCAAAAGGGTAACAATGTGTTCATAGAGAGGCAACATTGACCATTGTCCCTTATGTCTGTGCATTTTGTTTTACTTGGCTGTGTACATAGTGTATATATAGGACGAATGAATCCTAGTTTATAACAGCTAGTCTTTGTAGATGTTAAAGAGGTTGCCAGTGTACAACAAAAGTAGAGTTGGTAAACTAGTACAATGAGTTCACTTTGTGTTAAAGTTCATAGGAAAGGCAGTTCTTAAAACCACTTATGGAAGTGAAATTGTCCAAATCCCCTCTAAGCATTACAGATCCTTATTCTTGTCTGCTGGGTTGATAGAAGTGGGTGGGGAGGGGGGAGGGGGAGAATTCTAGGCCAGAATGATTTTATTTAGAAGACACTTTCAAACTATAGCCTTTGTTACATGAGTGCAGTTTATTCAATGCTATTGTATGCACAATGGAAAACTTACGTGTGTGAAACATGCAGTCTTTCTAGATGTTCAAAAGTGCACAACATATGTTAAAAGTAGAGGGCTAAGATAATGACCTTTAAGTATTTTTTGTTATTTCATAGGAGTTGCTGCATTTTGGGAATGGAATTGTTAAACTTGCTGTCTTAGAGTGTGTGCTGACTGTGCACGGGGTGGTGGTGAGTGAGGGCAGGAGGAAGTGTGCAGAGAGAAGGGCTCTGGGCCTGTGACTTAGATTAGTTCAGATTGTCTAACCATTGTGGATATGTGCATTTTAGTTAATATTACTGTGGACTAAAGGATAAACAAGTCCTAATGCCCAAAGCATGTTAAAAATAGAGGTAGTAAAAACAATCCCTTTATCAAAGTCCTTTTGCTAGTTTTTAGGAAGGTCTGTCTTCTGGGAATGACAGTATCTACCACTAGGAGCTCTGTAGTCTGTGCTTGTGATTGTGGATGACTTTTTTCTATGCTTCTTGTGTTTTTCAGTTTCCTATAATGCACACTTTAGCTTTTAAAAAAACAAAAGTTATTTTATTTTTTTGGGGGGGAATGGTTTTATTTTTTTAGTTTTTATTTATTTATTTTTATTGGTTATGAATATTCACGGGGTACAAAGTTGACTATCACCATTTGTGCCCAAGATGTGATGGCCAGATCCATACTGGCAGTATGCCCGTTACCACAAATTGCGATTATGTCTTGTGTCCCCCAGCCAATTATCCCTGACCTCCCTCTCCACCTGCCTTTCTCCCACTCCACTTTGTATCCCTAGGTATGCTAACAAAGGTTATTTTAAAAACCTGAAAAAAAAAGTAGAAGGAATAGAAGGTAGCTTGTCTAGAGTCAGTTGAGGAGGCTTGAGACTGGGCTATTCTGTTCCAAAATGTTGATCATATTACCTGTCTGATGACTATTAAAGCTTTACTTCCTCAAGTCTTGAAAGATTTGTAGACTTCACGATTCACTGCTTAAAATGCAAATAATCCTATGAGTTTATTTCTGAAGTCTATACCAACTAACGTTTTGGTTCTTAGTAACAAGCTAGGAAGAAATAGGACATTGGATGTGTAAGTGTCAGAAGGTCATGAGGGGGGAGTAAAAAGCAGCCAAAGGGCAGAGGGCCGATAGGGAGGAAAAATGTCAGAAAAGGGAAAAAGGGATGAAAAGGTGGTGGAAGGAGAACTACACTAGAATTTTGTGAAGAGTGGGAACATTTTTGTTTCCTAGTAACAAGAGAGTGGCTCTGTTGACAACTGGTAATGTGTATTCTCAAGTATCAGAAAGTTAAAAAAAAAAATCAGATTCTTGATGGTGTTTTTTGATTACAAATAAATTGGGGGAGAAGTAAAAGCTATGTGTCTGTTTAAAAAAACGGTGAAGCAACCATTACATAAGACAATGCAATCTGCTCAGCGTGAACATTTCAGGGAAAGATTTGGTATCTTACAATGTTGCAGTTACTATGGTGACAATGCATTTTTAATGACATCATTAAATGATAGTATAACTACTTGTAACTAAGGAGTGCTGAATAGTCACAGCTGTGGTGTTCGGAGTTTAGTGTCTTTTCTCCAGGATGGTTTTGAATGACTTCAAAATAAAAGTGCTGTATAACAGAGCATCACTTTGGTATATAATATGTGTACATTTTAGAAATGGAAAGGACCTCGGAGAATGTTGATTCTCCACATTCCCCTCCCCCCACACGTACATGAGTGAAAACACATACATGTGAACACTTTACAGATGAAGATCTGGAGATAAAAATTAAGTTGTTTTTACCAGCTCAGTTAGCTAGTGATGGATTTAGGATTAGATCTCAGGTTTTCTGACCATGAAACAGTTTCTTTGTACCATTGTATTCTGCCTCTCCCAAACACAATGACACACCTTAACTCTACATTTTTTTTTATTTTTTAAAACTTATTTTTTGGTGGCTGGCTGGTACAGTGATCAAAACCTGGATTAGCACCATTTATCAGCACCACTTTCTAACCAGCTAACTGGCCAGCCCCATACATTCTTTTTATACATCAAAATTGGTAAGAACTTGCAGTGAATTTGTATGACCATGTGAGGTTGTGAGCTGGTTAGGACCCAGATGAAATAGTAATGGAATTCAAAAGATTCATAAACCCTTTACATTTGTTTGCAAGTGAGAAATTATCAGATTCTCAAGGAATTTGTGACCTCTCCCCAAATTAGTGATAAATTATGGCTTTTTCTCCATTTATGTTGTCAAAATATCTTAAACAAAATGGAAAAGTAAATGGTATATTGAGAAAAATATTTTGTTATGATATGAAAGAAGATTAATACCCTTAATTTGTGAAGAGCACCTACACATCAAAAAACCCCATCAAGACCCAGTTAAAATTAGAGTGGAGGAAATGAATGAAAAATATACAGAATAAGAAGTACAAATGGTTAATAGAAATGGATATTATTCATCTTCAATAGTCATCAATGAAATAAAAATTAAAACAATAAAAATTTACTATTTTCACCTAACAAATTAGCACAGGTTAAAAACAACCACAATAGTATTTTACATGATGAAGGTGGAGGAATAAACAGATTTCTATGCTGTTACTAGGAGTATAAATTGGGGCAAACATCTTGGAAATTGAATTAATAATTTGAATTAAGAACCTTAAAAATGTTCTTTATCAGTAATTCAAATTCTAAGAAAACAGTTCCATTCTAAGACAATAATCAGAAGTATTCTTTAAGGTTTGTATGTAAAAATATTTCTCCTTATTTTATTTATAATAGTAAAAAATTTGAAAGAGCACAAATATCCAACATAGGGGAAAAGTTAAAAAAAATGCCATATTTCTATGAATCCAGTAAACTGTCTTGAAAAAAATTTTTTTTAAATTTATTTTTGGAACCCTCTGGTTACAAAATAATCATATATTTAAAAATATGCAAATTTCTAAAATGCATATAGATTATCATTTCAACCATATAACTGAATGAAAAATGCTAGAAGAAAATATAACAAAATTTTAATAATAGTTATTTCCTGAGTTATGAGATTATTAATTATTTTTCTTTTTTGTACTTCTAAAGTATTTTCTTAGGTTTCTTAATGAATTTTTATGTTATTGGAAATGAAAGTTATGTAAAAATTTTTGCTGAGTGTATTTTTGATGTCACCTCAGTTCTGACTTGGCAAAAATCTGTTGTCCTAAAGAATGGTAAAATTTGAAAGACATCTTTTTGGGAAAAAAAACTCACTAAAATATGATAAAATTTGACTTTTTTGTTTTATTTAAAAGACGTCTGTGTAACTTACTATTTAGTCCAGATGCTGAGGAAACACACATGAACAAGACATTTGGATTAGTCTGTTTCTGTTGCTTATAAAAAAATACCTGAAACTGCGTGACTTAGAAAGAAAATAAAATTTATTGCTTACAGTTTTGGAGGCTGGGAAGTCCAAAGTCGAGGGAACACCTCTAGTTAGGGTCTTGGTGGTGGTGACAGGGATCTCACATTATGAGATAGTGGAAGCAGAGAGAGCAGAGACAGACACTCCTCTCTTTTTCAAGCCCTCAGAGCCATGCCCCTGACCACCATTTTTAGTGGGTGGTAGTTTAGTGACCACCATTCACTACGGCATGGTCCTACAATCTAATCACCTCTTCAAGGCTCCACCTTTCAATTACCATAATAGGATTTCTCACCCTCTTAACAGTCACAGAGGAGCAAGGATAGGAATTACACCAGACTTCTCATTACATAACATGTAAGCAAGAAAATGGTGGAGTGAAATATTTAGTGTTGAAAGAAAAAATCACCAACCTAGAATTTTGTATCCAGCATAATTATTCTTCAAAAGTGAAAGAGAAATAAAGAGTTTTTAAAACAAACAAAAGTTGAGGAAAGTTGTTGCTGGTAGACTTGCCATGCAAGAAATGTTAAAAAAAAAAAAAAAAAAAAAAAAAGAAAAAGACTTCAGAAAGAAGGAAAATGTTATGGGTCAGAAACTAAGATCTGCATATAGAAAGAGTCTTAGAGAAGTAATAAATTAAGATAAAATAATGTATATTTTTATCCTTAATTGATGTAATGAATATTGCAAAATATTTGTTCAAAATATGATTAATACATTGGGTGATTATAGATTATGGATAAGTGGAATAAAAAATGCAATGTAAGGGACAGGAGGGAGAAACTGGGGGGATATTATAAGTATAGTGTTATTTGATTTGGGTTAGTTGTAAATGTATATTGCAAAATTTAGAACAACCACTAAAAATATTTTCAAAAGAAGTATAATTGATACACTAAGAGAGGAGAGAAAAAAATATATAAAATGCTCAAGTACAACCAGAGAAGGCAGAAAAAGAGTGAAAGACAAAGAAACAAGAACAAGGGCAATAAATAGAAAACAGTTACAAAGATAGCAGATGTCACTCCAACTACATCAATAATCACCTTAAAAGTGAATAATCTAAATACATAAATTAAAAGACAGGGACTGTCAGAGTGCATCAAAAAAACAAGACACAATCATATGTTGTTTACAAGAAACTCATCTTGAATATAAAGACACAGATAGACTAAAAGTTAATGGATGGAGAAAGATATAACATCCTAACACAAATCAATTGAGAGCTGGACTAGCTATATTAATTTTAGACAAGGCAGACTTCAGGACAAGAAAAATTACCAGGGATAAAAAGGGGCATTACATAATCATTACATAATGATAAGGGGTTCAATTCTCCAAGAAGAAATGACAATTCTTAGTATGTATGCTCAGAGATTTTTACATATACTTTATATTTTGTTAAAGGCTAATTGACATATGGAATTAGCATGGTACTGGAATTAGCATGGTAGTGGAATCAGAAAATTTGGGTTTTAATCTGGGCTCTGCCACTAAGTATCAAGTGATCTATGAGTTTGCACCTTATTTCAGTTTTCTCAGATACAAATTAAATGATTTTGAAAGTCCCATCTAAAAAAAAAGTCCCTTCTAGCCCTAACATTCTGTTGATTCTATTTGTGTATACTTGACTAAAATAAATTGAAGTAAATATTATTACATTGCATATTATTTAGCAGGAGGCTTTGGAGATGAATTTACAGTAAATGTGCATTTAGAGTACTTTTCGTATTTGGAAAATGTTAAATATCACATCACCTGCATTATTTTTTCTATATCTTTTCCCCCATAAAGTTGATTTGGAATGAGTATGCATGGTCAGTAGGTGTGACAAATATTTTAAACCAGTAAACTGTCTACCTGTTATTATTTGTTGTATGTCTTCCACCTCATCTATAATAGGGTCATGAACATAAATGTCTACTTCATTCTTTTATAGAGGGCTTGCCTTACTGTGTCATCTTTCCAGTTTTCTAAGTCCTTATAGCAGCCCTATGATGTAGGAATTACTACTTTCTCCATTTTATGGACAGAGAAACTGACTTAAGTAACTTGTTCAAGGTCCCACAATTAATAAGTGGTGGAGCTGTGATGAGAACCCAGGCAAACTGGCTCCAGAGGTCACTAAAATATATCCAGTAGGATTAAATACATTTTTTGTTTATTTTTAGTATTCAGGCATGAGATTTAAGGAAGAGGAAGTCAGATTCTAAGATGGCCCTCAAGGTTCTTGCTGCCTATGGGATATTCCTGCCCAGTATAATCCCTTTCTCTTGAGTGTAGACAGGACCCGTGAATATGATGGGCTATCACTCCCATGATTGTTACCTGCCAGGACATATTCTTATAAGACAATTGCCAAACCAGCTGAAGACCATATGTTGGATATATTTTTTACAAATATTCATTAGGATATTCCTCTGCTCCAATTTCCTCTCCCTTCTTGTTCTCACCATCTTTGCAAGGCTGAAAGTGTTGACAGGAGAGTTGATAAACATTAGTTGCAAGGCAGCTGCAAAGTTTAATTAATCTTTTTCTTATACATATGTTTATATCTTTGAAGGAATTTGTGTAACTGAAGAAATACATAAGATGAATTATTTATTTTTTTTGTCTTTTTCGTGACCGGTAAGGGGATCGCAACCCTTGGCTCGGTGTCGTCCTCACCGTGCTCAGCCAGTGAGCACACTGGCCATTTCTATATAGGATCCGAACCCGCGGCGGGAGCATCGCTGCGCTCCCAGCGCCGCACTCTCCTGAGTGCGCCACGGGCTCGGCCCATAAGATGAATTATTTTTGAGATCTGTTTATTTTCTAAGTAATAATAATAATAATAGCAAATGACAATAACATCACAACTCGCATTTGCTGAGTGCATGGAGATGTGCCAGGGACTGCAAGGAACAGATATGAGAGGTCTTGTTCTTATTTTAATATTCTTTATTTCAGTGGAAGCCCTTATTTCCAAACAACAGGGTCTACTAGATCTTAGCAGAGAAGTGATTTGGTGGCTCACAGAATCCTTAGGGGGACTGGAGAAGCTGACTTGAGTTCTATGCCACAGGACTAGTTCGGCAAAGGCACCTCTGCCTATCGTCTCCCTCCCCTTGCACCACCTGATATGCCTGCTGCACTGCCAACATGGATGACCCAGGAAGGTGGACACAGCTGGTACCTCCACTGCCCTTGCAGCTCCAGGAACTTGGACTTGCTGCAAACCCCTCACTCACCAGAGAGAATTCTTTTCATTTCAATTTATACTTCTTTGCATCATTAGTACCCAGTTCAAAGCCTGAGGTGGGTTCGTCAGATTGAGAGAGGTTGTCAGTGTATTCAAAAGTGTAGTCCAAATAATAGTAGCATCAGCACTGGTTGAGAGCTTCTTGGAAATGCAAATCATGCAGTTGGCTCCATTCTATCTTCCTGAGTCAGAATTTCTGAGGGTATTTTAACAGGCTCTCTAGGCTTGGCAAGCCCTCAAATGTACTATGCCACGCACTCTAAAGTTTGCAAGACACTTGTTTGGGTAGCATCTATATCTACAAAGGAGGCTGGAAAACGAAGTAACAGGCATTTCCAGATTTTATAGCAAGAGGTGGCTTAGCCTCTGCCAAGATTAACAAGGCAGGGGAGTCCCAAGACATAAGAAGGGGGTTCAGCTGTGTAGCAGAGAAAAAGAATGGCAAATGTCGAGTACAGCTGCTGTTCTTGGAATGTCATAGCTGCACTCCACATCTATAATGATTAACCAAGGAGCATAGTCTGCTTTGTTAAGGGGCATCTCAGAGTTAGCGATACTCATTAGCCTCTCCCCATAATTACAGTGTCCACCTCTTGGTGACTTGTACCACGCTTGCCCTCCCTTTTTCCCCTCTTTCCTTTTTCCCCTTTGCTCTTCCCCCTCCCTTTCTGCCTTTCCTCTGCTCGTTCCCGTTTCTTGTCCTCCTACCATTTCTAAGGTTCATTTGAGGTGTCTTCCCTTAAGATTTCAGGGAAAAGAGAAATCGTTCTTCCTCTATTAAAGGCTGTGTATCACTGGCTTGGGGAATTAATGAAGCTTTCAGGGAAAGTTCTTTTTCATGTTTTCTGGCAGGCTAAGAAATCACACACCCAGGGCTTGCTCCAGGCAGAGCGTTGAAGCTGAGGAGTTGGTTTTCGGTGCCTCCAGGCTCTTCCAGTTTCTTTATCCCTCAGAGCTTCCCTTCCTGTTTCACCTTCACTTCAGTCACCAGCTGTCCTCCTGCCCCACACCCCCACCCCTAATCAAAACTTGCTGTTAGGAAAGAATGATATCCTTAATGACTTTGTTCATCAATAAGACACTGAATCACCTCTCTGAGAGTATTTACTTTCAGAGGGTTTTTTTTTTTTTCCTGGTGGAAAAATCAAGGTTTTGTTCTTGCTGAAAACGAATTTTAAAACATCAGTTAATAGGAGAAGTTACAATTCATATCCACTTGCTTGGTGAATTAAGGGGTCCTGCTCTTACACTTCTGCCACTGTTTCTCTACTGATTTTAATTTTCTACTTCCTGTTGTAGCAGTTGGAGAATGTGTCAGAGCTTCCCACTCTACTTATGCCTCATGATGTGGCACCTGGGGGTGGAGTGTTCCAGGTGTGCTCTGGCCCTCAGGAGCCAACGCAGGTATGTTGCTTGTTCCCCAACACCCCACTCCATCCTTTACCTACATCCCTCCCCCTTTTTTAAATTCACTTTTTAAAAAATTGAAACATAGTTGATTGTACATATCTGTGTGGTACCGAGTTGAATATCAGTACCTGTGTACAATATGTGATGTTCAAATCAGGATAAGTAGGATATTCAACATCAAGCAACGTAATCATTTTTTGTTGTCCTTTACTAATTCCTCCATTACCTCCCCACCCCCCTCACCACCTCTGGTAACCTCAGATCAGTTCTCTCCTTTTGAAAGTTCAATGTATCATTGTGATTGTTGTATCTTTCTTTCTTTCTTTATTCATTTTTTTTTTAGCTCCCACTTATGAGTGAGGACATGTGTATTTCTCTTTCTGTGCCTGGCTTATTTCACTTAACATGATTTTCTCTTAAGTACATCCATGTTGCTGCCAATGGCAGTATTTCATTCTTTTTAAAGGCAGAGTAGTATTCCATTGTGTAGATATACCACATTTTCCTTATCCAGTCATCCTATGATGGACATTTAAGTTGGTCCCAACTCTTGGGTATTGTAAATAGAGCTGCAATAAACATTACCTCTGCGCTTTTTTTGTGAATCAGAAGGAGCCCTTGTTAGAGGTGCCAGCTGCTGTGCTGTCCTCCTGGCAGGAGCCAGTCTTCCCCAGGGTCTTGATTCCTGACTATCATTCAGGGTCAGAGGCCTAAAGAAATCATTCCTTTGTAGCACATTTTTAAACCTTTTCAAAAAAGAAATGTTACCCTTTTACTTTTGACAACCAAAATGTTAGGATACTGGTGTCTAGGTTGATTGTACTACCTTGTTCTTGTAGAAAATGGCACTGTCTTCCCTAGGGGAAAAATGAGGACAAGAAGCTTCATTTTACAATACTGGTCTTGTGAATTTGACCCCAAGCACTTGGGGTGTAGGATAAACAACAGGCTAATTTGAAAGAGCAAAACAAAAATTGGATGGGAAGAGTAGAAAATAGAACCACATCCCAGAGTGCCATAAATATTATAATGCCAATGTTTGCTTTTCTCTTTTAATAACATCTCAGTGACATTTATGTGACATAATTACTCAGGGTGAAGAAATAAAAAAAATTGTATGGCCAAAAAAAAAAAAAAAAGAAGATGAACTGGGAAAAATATAATAAGTTTATATCAAAGAGAGAGGGTTAATATACCCAACACATAAAAGCTTTTAAAAATAGAGAAGGCAGGAGAAAGCTGATGTCCTAGCTCCAAGGCAGTCAGGCAGGGATAGCAAATTCTCCCTTACTCAGTTTTTTTGTTCTATTCAGGCCTTCAAAGAATTGGATGAGGCCCATCCACATTGGGGAGGGCAATCTCATCCAGAAACACTCACAGACACACCAAGAATAATATTTAACCAAATATCTGGGCAACCCATGACCCAGTCAAGCTGACACATAAAATTTACCATCACAAGTCCACCCCTTGTCAACTTGGCACTCATACATATCTCCTTAAACCACACTTACTATCCAAGTAAAGACAAGAATATTGTCATAATTCTGCCTAACATGGCACAGTTATCCTATGTACAACTGAAAATGCACTAATTCCTTCCCCGGAATAGGAGGCAAAGTCCTTGAGTGATGTTTACTTTCTCCTTGATATCCTATAACTTAAATACTATGGCATAGAATGAACTATACTTAAATATTAAAATAACAAGTCAATGTATCTTATTTTACATGATAAGAGAGGGAGGAAAACAATATTTGCTTGATATATATTTTAATACATTTTATTAAATTCAATATAATTAAATATAAAATATTAATATTAATATATATACACATTCAAACACTCACAAAAAATAAGAAGGAATACTCGTGATAATAATAGTCTTCATTTCTGTAACTGCTCACATGGGCATAGATGGTATTTATAGCTACCTTTTTCCACCTCCCATTTTGAATTTCCTTTGCCTTTGGAAAGCACCTCAGCTGGTCATGGTTGTTTACCTGGTTGAGAGACCCCAGTCTTCATTCCTTAAGGATCTAGCCATTATTAGTACTGCCTGGATTGGGTTGTTGTAGTTTTCTATTGACCTTAATCACAGAGCATGGTAATACAAAGAGAAACTCTAAGGGATCATCTGTATTCCAGACATAGTCCAGTTTCCCTTTGGTAATCAGGATCAACCAATCAGCCAGCACTGTTATTCTCCTCTTAGCCTGCTGACTCAGAGGCAGGAGGAGCCCAAAGTGGCTGGGTGGCAGTCTTAACTTCCAATTCAATGGAATAATTGTTATATCTCCTGGTGGAACATTCCTACTTTTGGAACTAAGACCTCTAGGCTAGTAGAACATAAGGCCACAGGAACAGGAAGCAAAAAGTTTGCTAGTGAGTCACTAGGGGTAATAGTGAATGGTACCACTTCCATTTCCACCCCTTGATTCTTAGACACACGAATCCTGGCTATGGAAGAAACAGCAACATATTTTGTACATTGATTCAGAGCATACACAGCCTTCTGGTGATCCTTGCCCCAGCTCTGCAAGGTATTGCCACCTATCTGGCACTGCTACTGAGTTTTCAAAAGGCTATTCTACTGTTCCATCAAATTAGCTGCTTCAGGATGATGGATAACATGGTAAGACCAGTGAATTCTATGACTGTGGGTCCATTGTCATACTTCTTTTGCTGTAAAGTGAGTTCCTTGATCAGAAGTAATGCTGTGTGGAATACCATGATGGTGGAAAAGGCATTCTGCAAGTCCAAAGGTGGTTGGTTTGGCAGACGCTTTGTGTGCAGAGAAGACAAATCTATATCCAGAACAAGGCCCATTCCAGTGAAAGCAAAGTGTTGTCCTTTTCATGGACAAAAGTGGTCCATTGTAATCAACCTACCATCAGGTGGCTGGCTGATCACTCTGGGGAATGGTGCCATATTGGGAACTCAATGTTGGTCTATGCTGTTGTCAGATTGAGCAATCAGCCACAGCCAGGTTGGCCTTGGTGAGTGGAAGTCCATGCTGCTGAGCTCATGTATAACCTCTATCCCTGGAACCATGGACACTTTGCTTATGAGCTCATTGGATGATGACAGGGATGACTGGGGAAAGAGGCTGACAGGTATCCACAAAATGTGTCAGCCTATCCACTTTATCATTCAAACCCTCCTCTGTTCAACTCTGCTGAGTTGAACATTCACACAGGACACAAATATCATCATGTTTTCTGCTCATCCGGAGAGGTCTACCACATATCTCTTCCCCGAATTTTGTTGTCACCAATTTTCTAGTCATGTTCTTTCTAGGTTCTTGATCATCCAGCTAAGCCATTGGCCACAGTCCACGAATCAGTACGTAATGGCACATCTGGCCTTTTCTCCTTCCAAGTGAAGTGAACAACTAGGTGCACTGATCGAAGCTCTGCCCACTGGAAAGATTTTCCTTTACCACTGTCCTTCAGGGATGTATCAGGAAGGGGCTGGTGCTGTAGCTGTCCACTTTTGGGTAGTGCCTGCATATGGCACAGAACTACCTGTAAATCAGGCCCAAGTTTACTATTCCTCAGTCAGATGATCATAGGGAACTTACAGGAGGCCATAGGTTCAGGCCGGGAGAGAAAAGGCAGTGTAGCATGAGTGGGAACCATGGGCAATCACTTCTTCATGTACTCACTTGTGCCTGCGGGGCCTGATCACGCATATGCCACTTCCATTCAGTGATGGAGTGCTGCTCTGCATATCCAGCTTTACAGCTTGGTGGTCAGATAACACCCAGTTCACGATGGGCAGCTCAGGTTGTATGGTAACTTGGTAGCTCATGGTTAAGCTTTCAGCCTCTATTAAGGCCCAGTAGGCAAGAGCTGTCTCTCAAAAGGAGAGTAGTTTCCTGAAAAGGATAGTAGGACTTTGCTCCAAAACCCTGGGAATTTTCCCTGTAATTTACCCATGGAAGCCTGCCAAACAGCATCTGTATTCACCACTGACACCTCAAGTACCACTGTATCTGCTGGTTTATATGGCCCAAGTGGCAGAGCAGCTTGCATGGAGCCTGGACCTGTTGCAGAGCCTTCTCTTGTTCTGGGCCCCACTGAAAACTACTAGCATTTCGGGTTTTTGGGAAATTGGCCAGAGTAACATACCCAAATGAAGAATATGTTGCCTCCAAAATCCAAAGAGGCCCTCTAGGTGTTGTGTTTTTTTTTGTTTGTTTTGGGGGGTCCAGATGAAACAACTTATCTCTCCCTTTAGAAGGATATCTTGACATACCCCATATCACTGGACCACTAGAAATTTCACCGAAGCAGAAGGCCCCTGAATTTTTATCAGATTTATTTCCCACCATCCCACACCCAAAGATCTTCCCGGTAAGTCTAGAGTATCTGCTACTTCTTGCTCACTAGGTCCAATCAGCCTAATGTCATCAATATGATGAACCAGTGTGATATCATCTGGAAGGGAAAGGCAATCAAGATCCTTGTGAACTGAATTATGACAGGGAAGTGGAGAGTTGAAATACCCCTGAAGGAGGACAATGAAGGTGTATTGCTGGCCTTGTCAGCTGAAAACAAACTGTATCTGGTGGGTCTTATTGAAAGGGATGGAGAAAAAGACATCTTCTTCAATAGATGCATACCGGGTACCAGGGGGTGTGTTAATTTGCTTAAGGAATGGACATATGTATTTGTGTTTTGACCCAGCAGCCCTACTTCAAGGTATCTATTAAGATTCACTGACAATAACATAAAATGACTGATGCACAAGGTAGTTTACTGCAGCAACATCTGTAACATAAAAGATTGGAAACAAATCAAATGTTCATCAATAGTAGACTGGTGAACAGATTTTAGGGCGTCCACGTAATGGACTAGTATGTAGATGTAGACAGGAGTATGGAAGATCTTTGCACACTGCTATGGACAGATATCCAGGCTATGATAAGGTACAGAACAGTGTGCACGGAATGCTACCTTTATTTAAGAAATGTAT